TACAAGAAGCAGTTAAGGTCTTGTACAAAGACAAATGTATCGGGGGACTCTCAGATCAAACAGGGCCTAGTAGACAGTTTTATTACCTGTACCTTGGAATGTTGTGTTTCTCCTGGAGGCTGGCGCCTGGAGATATCATCTCTCTGTAACTGGAGAATTTCCACTTTTACACTGGTACTGTGGGCAACTGGAGCCAGTCCCTGGGGAGCTTCAGGGGACAGTGTAGTGTGTCTCAGAGATGTCCCACCAAGGCATGGAAGCTGGGGTTATTACCCTCCATCCCCATGTGTCATTGTTGAGGGCAGCTCCTGGGTGTTGACTCCAGCTGTCCTGCCCATCTCTGGATGAGGCTGCAGTCTGTGGACAGAGGACACTCATCCAGGAGGAAGACACCCTACCATCTTCTCCACGCAGCTCCCTCAGGCTGCCAAGGAGAAGAAAAATTCCTCTAACTTGCTTCTGAGTACCTAAGACTCTGTGGTTACTTATTCAATTCCTTCCTTAAATGAGGGCCTCTTAAGTCCCATCTTCCCTGGACTCCTCAGCATTTCCAAGTTGGGTGCTGCCTCTCCAGAAGTGCAGCCCTCAAATCAATTTATCAGTCAAACATCTCTGCTGACTCTGAGTCTGCCATGCCTAGCCCTCAGGTGGGAGGGAACCCTCCCACAGATGATGGACACTGATAGGCAGTGAGACACAGATGCTGTAAATGAGCAAAGGAAACATTGCAGAGTCATCCTAGAGGCGATGAAGTGAGAGACTTCATTGGGGTTTTCATTTGCACATTTAGGGTAGGTCCTTGTAGAAGGTCATTGTTCCCTGAGGAGTTCACATGATTAAGTGTCATCCCCTCAGCTCAAAAATCAGCTCATTGAGGGCAGGGGTCAGGAGACACCTAACTTTTCCAACTGTGGCCTGCAAAACACCTGTGACTTAAGGAGGTGCACACAGGTGTTAGTACCTTCCTTAATCCCCACCCCAACCCACCCAGATCTGCAGTGGGCCCATGTGGTGGGGTACCTGGGGGTAATAAACCTGGCACCAGCCACCTCACAGACTGCACCCAACTTCATCAAGAGGTAGCCTTCACCAAGGACACTGAATGTGCAGGCCATCCAGAGGCTCCTGTGCACTACCACTTACAATACTTGCCACCGTCAACACTATCTTACCCACCAATGGGCCTGGGACCTCTCAGTTAAGTGGGTTCCAACTGATTTCCAAATGCCTGAGCACCTTTTTCCAGACTTATGAAAGGAAAAGCTCTTGGCTCTCCCTGTCAGCAGTCCAGAAGTACCAGGAAATGACCCCTTCAGAGGCTTCAGCTCTCAGGAGTTGGCATGTGAATGCACTAGCTCTCTTCCCACCTCTGGCCTTCCAGATGAGATCCTTAGGTACTGCTGCTCTGTGCTGAGTTCTGCAGCATGGATTAGGCTCCAGTTGCCCACAGTGGGGACAGGCTGAGTAATCTACTAATATTCTGATTCTGACACCAATATTAATTTGTGAGCTTTCACCCCACATCAAGCAATTCTCAGACACCAGCTGGGTGTCCTACAATTCAACTCAATTCTGACATCATCTACCTGGAGATAGCTTAGATCCCAGAAGTTTAGGTGTCTGTCTCACAAGACCGTCTCTACTTCAAATGCCAATCACAAGTCCAGGTCATTACCTGTGCTTTTGACTGAGTGGCTGTAAATCAGAGGTTCTTATGATCCACTCCTTGGGTTTGATTAATTTGCTAGGACAGTTCACAGAACTCAGAGAAACATTTTACTCACTAGATTAACAGTTTATTATAACAGATAAAACTCAGAACAGCCAGATAGAAGAGACACATAGGGCAAGGTATGGAGAAAGGACGTGGAGCTTCCATGTTCTCTACTCATGCACCATTCTCCCTGAATCTTCATGTGTTCGCCATTCAGAAGCTTTTTTAAACCCCATCTTTTTGGGGTTTTATGGAGGCTTTAATTACTTAGGCATAATTGGTTAAATAATTGGTCATTGATAATTGAACACAACCTCTAGCTGCCCTCCTTTCCAGGAAGGTGCAGGAGTAGAACTCAAAGTTCTAACCCTCTCATCATAGGGTTGGTTTTCCAGGCAATCTGATTCTATCTTTATGTGCTTTCTAAAGTCACTCTATTAACATAACAAAAGACATCGTTATCCTTCTTATCAGTTAGGTAATTCCTAGTGTTTTAGGAGCTCTATGCAAGGGAATAAAGACCAAATCCATATTTCTCATGAAAAGTCACAGTATGACTGACATCCACCATTCCTGTCTCAATGCTCCACTCCCAGACCAATGTTCCTGTGCTTCCCAAATCAACAATGCATTGAATCTCTGCTCTGGGTCCCCTTCTTAGAGATTTCAAACTAAGAAGTCTACCACACACCAGGCACTCCATACACATTGATTCATGAAACCTGCTTAGAAGCAGAGAAATAAGACGGTCCTCTGAGAGTTCAAAGTCAGCAAGACATTTATTGGCACAGATAATGCAATGTCATCTTTAAGAGAAAGGAGGCTCCCACCAGCCTGGCTAAAATGTCAATGAAAGGATTAAGGTATCTACCAGCAGAGTGCAGAAATGCACAAAAAGAAGGGTAGGAAAATTCATAGGGGCAAACATGGGCGGTGCTGGTGGAGGGAGCTATGCTCACTACACTCAGTATCTGGTCCCCTGGTGACACTTTCCTTCTTGGATCATAGATCTTCAGGCCCTGTCAGCAACATGCCCTTGGTATCTGGGATCACACACCCATCCCCTCAGTTTGTTCTTGTCTGTACCCTGGAGCCACCCCTCCAGCCCACACCGCTGCCCCCCCCCACCCCCACCCCCCCATGGTGCTGTGGACACCCCCACCCCCCCATGGTGCTGTGGCTCTCACCTCACCTGCTCACACGGAGAGAATATGCTTGTTTTGCAAAGAGAAATGTTCTAGCCCCAGGGAAGCTGGTTCTGGTAGATGAACAAACTGACACTCCCCTCAAAAGCATAGTCTTGAGATTCATCTTCAGAGATCAGAAGGGAACCAGCCTCAGGACTGAGTTGAATTCTTTGTGTTGGTATCATCTTATGAGGCCTTGGGGGGCTTTGTCTTCAGGGTTCCTTTATTAGCAAGTGGCAAACCTAGTTCATACAGAGTTCATACAGTTCAAAGGGAGGTTTTGTTGACTGAAGGCTCTCTCCTGGAGCCTCAGGGCAGGTCTCAGTGGAGATTCCAAGGAAAGAGCTCCGGCTGGCCTGCTGCATGATAGTCCACCATGAACTTCAGTGGCCTAACAGGGCAACAATCATTTATTTTGCTGACGAATCTGCAGTTTTTGGCAGGGAAGGCTCTAAGCCACACCAGCTCAGGCAGCCCAACCCAGAACTGCAGGGTCCATTTTCCAATTCAGCTCACTTGCACAACTGCTAGATTTCAGGATAGTTCGGCTGGTCCTTCTCCACATTGGCCTGTTCAAGTGGCCTGGGCTGTTCACAGTACAGTGGGGTGACTGGTTTCCAATACTAAGAGACCCCAGCGGAGGCTTTGTCACAGAAGTTACAGAGGATTGTTTCTTCTGAACTCTGTCATGGGCTGCTTCACATGATTACATAGATCTCCCTGAGCAGACAGAGGGGACCTTACACCATCTCCTCATGGGGGTGCAAGGCAAGGTTCTGGATGAGCATATGAGACTGAAATATTTTTGTGGTCATTTTTGCAAAATATAGTCTGCCATGACAAAGAATGAAAAACCACCAGGAATCAAGGCAGCCACTCTCCATAGCTCGTGTGTGTGTGTGTGTGTGTGTGTGTGTGTGTGTCTGTGTGTGTGTGTGTATCTTATGCTAGCTGTCCCTTTCCTTCTCTCTTTTTCCCTGGTCACAAGGCTTTTTGCATCTGCTTCATTATCTGTGCTCATGGCCACATCTCAGCTTCTAAGCTGATGGGTCTCAGTTCTTCCTGCCTTCCTATAATCTCCTCAAAAGTCAGGTCCTCAAGTAACTTCCCAAAAATGTAGCCCCAGCTCACTCTGCTCCAGCAACATCAGTAAACATCACCATGCCCAGAGGGCTTCCACAGATTTGAAAGGAATTATTCAGTATCTCAGATCTGTGGATGGACCTGAAAATTTAGTGCTGAAGAAACCAGATTTTAAAATTTATGCTGTAAACTGTAAGTTTCCCAAATCCCAAGCTAACTGGTTCCATTCTATTGAACCTGTTGTTTTAAACAAAAATTCGGTTAAAAAAAAAAAAAAGCCAGGGTTCCGGATAGGCCGAAATGTAGCTACTTGTAGGGCTGGAGAACAGAAGGTCTCACAACACCAACCAAGCTCTGAGCCAGAGCTGGAGCCAGGCAGTTTTCCTAGCCCCTCAATTCAAAGGGCACGAGAAGGTAAGTGTATCTATTCGGCATACTTTTATCACTTCAAGCCTTACCCACACCCTCAACTCTTTCACTTTTAATTGAATTTCCCACTTAACATAAATTGGTTTTCCTCTATGTATCCTTTAGGATCGACTCGGGTACTTGATCAGGTACAATAGAAGCTCTGCCGGCTTCATCACCTCAGTGGAGTAATATTCCTGGTGCCTTCGCGAAATATCCTGACTCCCCAAACGCTATCTCTGACTGAAAGCCTTAGTTGGGTCACTGTCTGGTCACTGTCGCTCCTGGTTTCCCGTGATCGCATCAAGTCATTAAGTTTCCCTAGTCTTTTAACTGGAATCACTCCAACTACCGGTGAATGGGGGACATGGGGAAGAGACCTCAGCGCGCCCCGCACATTCCCCATCCTTTTCCTAAGCGACCTCCTGCAGCAGGAGAGCGGACCTATTCCCAGCTCCTGAGACGCAACTTTGAGGTTTCATCCAATCAGGGACCTCCCCTAGCCAGTTGGTCCAGATTCTATGATCCGGTTAGACCAATGAAAACTCCAGCGCGGGTTTGCAGTGGTCTTCTGGGAAAGCGCCTCTCCCGGAAGTCGCACATCCTTCCAGACTCACCTGGCCGGAGCTAGCCTCCCGGTCCGCCGTCCCACTGGTTGGCACAGCTGCTCGTCACGGGAAGGGGAGAGTAGGCGGGGCCGGGGGGCGTCCGCGTCTGCGCGGAGCACGGCCGGCCACGCGCGGGAACCCGCGGAGGGAGGAGTCAGGTCCCAGGGCTCAGAGGTCCCGGCCCCCGGACGGAGCCTCTCGAGAGAAGGAGGAGAGACGGAGGGCCACTCTCCCCGGCTCCCTCTGAGGCAAGCAGCGGAGGAGCGCGGAGCTTCGGCAGGCCTGCCCCGCGACCTTCAGGGGCTGGCCCTCCGTGGAACTGCGGCCGGGGCGCCGTACTGAGGTCGCCGCGACCCCCGCTGACCGAAGCCGCCACCGCCCGCACTGACCCACGGCCGCCCGGCTGACCTAAGTCACCGCCCTCGGTGACCCGAGGTCGCCCCACTGACCCTGGTCTTCACCGGCGCAGGTAGGTGACTCCCCCGCGACAAGATCACAGGGTAGGCCGAAGGACTCACAAGATATTTCCCAGGTGTGTCCTCCACGCCTTCCCTCCATTGTCAGGATTAAGCCGGGTTTTGTCCTTGTCCACGTGGCGGCGTTGCAGTTCACTGTCAAGCTTTGGCCTCTGCGAAATGCTGGGGCAGTAAATTCTCTTGGTAATTGAGTCCATGCACTGAAGCAGGTCTCAGATGGCTGGGGAGAGCTTGCTTTACGTGTTTGCTTAAAAGCCACTCGCCACCAGAAATGAGGCGTGTTAACATCTTCTCTGGCCCCACTTCAAAGAACTGGTGGCGATCTTAAATTAAAAGACAGCGGGCTTCACAGCTCACGTTATTCCACTTCTTTTCACAGTCTCATTATTTTCTCTGATTTGATGGATACGGGCTGGCCATAAGCACTGTAGGCGACTGAACCACAGGAGGTGGAGGTGGTCTTTTTATTTGGTATGGGGGCGGGGTAGGTTGTTAAACTGTGTGTGGAAAGACTGCTTTGGCAGAACCGGAAAACGTGGACCAGGAACTGAGGTGGAGAAGAAGGACGTTTCCGGAATTGAATTGAGATGGTAGAGGGACTAAAATATGTCAGGGTGAGGAATGATGTGGACCTTGGGTAGTTGAGAATTCCAGCAAGAGAGAAATGTGGGGCCCTGGAAGGAAATTTTGAAGCTAGTGGTTCTGGAATTGTGCTGATATAGACTTGATTTCAAAAGTGCAGTGACTTAAAAAATAAGCACGTAAAAGGACAACATAGTCTTGACAACATTTTTAAGGGCCGCACACGTTCCTATAAATGATAAACAGGAGTGTACTCACTGTCAAGGCCTTGAACCAGACCTAAGTTTCAGTTTTCTTATTATAAAGTTGTTATTATAGTAATACTCTCATCCATTTGTGGTGACCATTAAATGAGTTAATTCATGTAAAGCATTTAGCAAATACCAACTCTGGTTGAAGCTTGACCTTAGGCCCATGGAGGGAGTGGAAAAACCAGCATCTATATCTGGCCCTGGAACTGCTCATTTCTAGGACCAAGCTCCCTCCCAGGTCCTTGCAGTTCTTTACAGGAGGCAGAGACCTCCACCTTTTTCAGCCGTTAAGAGTACCTGACTCCTTGCCAATCCTGTGTAGAGTCTCTTGTGTATTTCATAAGCTTTTTTTTTTTTTTTAAGTTCAGGTCTGCAAAATGAAAAAAATTATTCAGTATTTAATTTTGTAAATCTAAACATATCTACAATTTTAGGAATGTCTTCTAGGATATGTTTAGTGAAATATTTCAATTATGCAAAAAAGGACAGAACCATAACAGTTGTACCATACCCTGAAAATAATAGTGATAATAATATCTTTGTATGCTTTTGGACTTTTTTTTTAAAGGAAATGTGACATTTCAGCTATAGTTGAAATTCTTTTTTTGCCATCCCATAGAATTTCTTCAGTTTTAACTTGTCTTTCCGCTTACCTGGTGGGTATTTGTGCTCACAGATGCTAAGTGTTCTCCATTCTCGTTCCAAGTCAGCCACCAGGTTTGCTTCTTATAGCCTATTATGAGGATTATGGCCACCATTTTGGTTCTATCCTCGTGGCATTTGTTCTCTTACCCTCTGAAGAAACCTGCCTTTTTTTTTTTTTTTTTGCCATTCCATTCTTCATTGGGTGAACTCATGGTAGGCTTTCCCAGACCATGACCAGCTGACTAGCATATGCCATCTGATTGACCTTTATTGGGCCACTGTTCCCTTCAAAATGGTCCACTGTTTTTAGCCTGGATAAACTGGATTTGCCACTTCTCTAGGGACAGTAACACCTGTTCTGCGCTTTCAGGAAAAAGTGGCCTTTTATTGTCAAATGTACTATATTTTATAAAAATGAGATGTTAAAATTCATAGTAATAGCTATCATTTTCTGAACATGTAGGTATCAGGCCTTCTAATTAAACATTTGGTATATATTGTCTTATTTAATTCTGACATTACAACAGTGGAAATATTCCCATTAAAATAAGCAAACTGAGGCTTAGTAAGATTAGGTGTTAGCAGCAATTTGAGCCTAGAGTCATCTCTCTACAGCATGTAATTATTTTGCCAACAATAGAAAAAGAGGATTGTTTCATTGTCAGGGTAGAACGAAGTTTGGCATTCACATGGGTTCTCTTCAACCTTCCTGCCCCACAGCCCCGGCTCCCTCAGGTGCAGAAAGCACCTTGGCGGAGGCCTTCAGCAGAGCTGGAAATGGCATCAGTGGACTTCAAGACCTATGTGGATCAGGCCTGCAGGGCTGCTGAGGAGTTTGTCAATGTCTACTACACCACCATGGATAAGCGACGGCGTCTGCTGTCCCGCCTCTACATGGGCACAGCCACCCTGGTGTGGAATGGAAATGCCGTCTCAGGACAAGAGTCCTTGAGTGAGTTTTTTGAAATGTTGCCTTCCAGTGAGTTCCAGATCAATGTAGTAGACTGCCAGCCTGTTCATGATGAAGCCACCCCAAGCCAGACCACAGTCCTCGTTGTGATCTGTGGAACAGTGAAGTTTGAAGGCAACAAACAACGGGACTTTAACCAGAACTTCCTCTTGACCGCCCAGGCCTCACCCAGCAACACGGTGTGGAAGATAGCAAGTGACTGCTTTCGGTTCCAGGACTGGGCCAGCTAATAGGGCAGGAAAGGCCTCTGCTTCAGCCCCAGCTCTGGAGGGAAAGTCAGACCTCAAAATGTGGGGAAACAAGTCCTTTCTATTGTTGCAGCTATACTGCCCAGGCTGAACTCCGCCTTTGCTCGAGTCCAAGGAGCCCCTTTCTGAGTGTATACTTGTTTGTCATAGTACCTTTTCAAAGTAGTAAAATTTTCTATTTTTCTACTTGCCCAGTAGAGACCTGGTTCTGGAAATTCTGACAAATAAAACAATAATACAAATGTTATTCCTTTCCCTTTGCCTGATGTGTTCGACTAAGTTTTAAAGAGAAAGAGGGTTAAAGGCAGTAGGATTAGTAGAAGACACTTGCAGAGGTATGTGGTCCAGGGCTAAGTACCTGCCCTGAGCGCAGGTGTGCAAACAGCTGTACTAGAGCCAGGCTTCACAGCCATCTCCACACTGGAGTTCCTTGGCACACTTCGAAATTACCTTTGGTCAGGCCACAACTCCCAGACTAACTATACCTGAATATCAGGCTAGGACTGGGCATCGGCATTTTTCAAAAGCACCCTAGGTGTTTTATAGTTCACTTTAGAATACATCAGAATCACCTAATGGAGGTGACTGAGCGCTACCTTAGAACCTTAGCTGAGAGTTAAATGAATGAGAATGGTGAAATACTCAAGAGATAATAACTGCTTTTAAATGAAACAGCTATATTAACTATTCTCTTATAAAGTGAAGAACTGTTTTTAAGAGGAAGAAGTACTGAGATTGAGGAGGCATCAGAATTAGAAGCTAGTTTTATTGACTCTGAAGACGAACTGTAATTGCATTTCTCCAGTGTAAAAAAAGAATAGAAAATGAAATTTGCTTCATCATTTTAACCAATAGATGAGATCCCGTGGCCATGTGGCTTCCCCAGTTAAAATTTCTTTTGACAAGTGTGCTAGTTTTGGAATAGGGTTGTGGTTTAGGATTCGGAAAGAATTTGAGAAGGAACAGTATACTGATGTGTATGGTGGCACAGATGACAGTTTCTTCTTAATATTCTTCCCCTTCTCTAGTCACTGAATCCCAGTGTTTCATGGGACTAAGTATTCACCTGAAAGAGGACGGTCCAGCTCAGTTCATAGCTAGGTTTGATATATGACCAAGTCCCAGCCAATGACCTAGAAGCAGAAGGGCTGGGCTTTTGGGATCTTGCTTCAAAAGACCCTTCTTTCCTCTGTCCTACTGCCTGGAAAGCGGCAATGATGGCTGGACCACTGGCTCTGGCTCAGTCTTGGGCCGTGAGGACAGCTCAGCTAAACCCTTGAGGTAGATTTGTCTTGAGCTGGAAGGAGCCTGGGTCTCTGGCGACCATGTGAAACCACCTAAATGGCCCCAGTTTGCCTACCCTTAGACTTCTTAAATGAGAGAAGTAAATCCTATCTTTAAGCCTTTATTGGTTCAGGGCACATGTTTCCTACTGTAGCAAAACCTATTCCCAAGAGAAAAATGGTTTGCAATGGGGACAGACATTGAGTGTGCTGTAAGAGAATGGCTCTGCCATGACACTCTGAGGAACCAAAGTAGACCCAGGTGTGTTCCTTGCTCTCGAGGGGTTTGTAATCTAATCGAGAGGCAAGATATCGAAATAGTAAAAATTCAGTTTTGAAGCCACATGTAAAGAATAGTCCAACCAGTCATAGATGTGTGCATAGTAAGCCAAGACAAGCAATTCAGCTGAGATGCTATTAAAATACATATGAGATACAAGAGTGAGGTTCCAAACCAAGATGTAGAATTATCTGAGACTCTGGAGCATTGTCTCTCAGGGAGGAGAGTGGGGTGGAGTAGAAGGATTAGTGCAGAGATTGACTTGGAATGAGATGCTGGACTTCAAATCTCAAGACCCCTCCTTAAGGTGTCAGGTGGAATGCTACCTTTGTTACCTCAGGCCTAGATAGAGGGCACAAGTCCCATCAGGCCCTCAGAGAGCTTGACATGAACTCCAAGACCCTGAATTACATTGGCCTAAGAAGCTTCAAGACAATACCTGTTGTCTCCATTGAACAACAGGTTTGAGAAAAAGTACAGGTGGAATTCCGAAGAGCATTAAGGTAGGCCTCTAGTGGCCTCCTGGTTTTCATTCTCCTGTCCTTCAGGAGCAGGGAAAATGGGTTTTTGGTTTGGAAAGCACTCAGATGAAAGACCAGACCTCCTTAGATGACCTAGTTAGGGCAAGTGAGGTGTATGAGGACAGATTGTGAGATAGTTTAGAGAATTCTCCTTAAAAGATTGGGGCAGCCAACTTTTCTTTCTTCCCCCTCTTTCTTTCCTCCTTCCCAACTGTCCTCCATCCTGCTATTTGGAAAGCAGGTGTGCGGGTTGATGTTCTAGAAGCTCTAGGGGGCCATGAGACCCAATCCAGGCACATGAAAGGGATGGAGGAATGGAAATCAGGCCCTGGGGTACCTGTCAACCTTATGGAGCCCCTCATTAGCCTTGAATGCCCCCCATCTAGCTTCTCAGGGGAGCAAGAACTACACTTCCATCTTACCGAAGCCAGTGTTTGGGGCCTTTTTATTCACAATCATCGGTGACAAACTGGAGAAGAATGTGCAACAAAGGACAGGACTTATTTCCTTACTACATAAGAACTCTTACAAATTAGTTTTAAAAAAAGGAAATAAGAAAAGAATTAAACAGACAAATTATACACACACACACACACACACACACACATATGTATGTATATATAGAAGGGAGGGAGGAAAGAAGAGAGGAAGGAAGAAATTATGTATAGACTCACAATTTATTACAAGAGAATTAGCCAAGATCTGCAATGGACACTGGTGTCCCCACATCCATCCCCTCTCCATTGTGTAGCAGCCACCTAAGTGATGGCAGGTGGTCACCCCCTGCCCCCATCAGACTGACAACAGCCAGGAAACCCCAAACTCCTCCTTGCTTGCCAAGATGGAACCTTGGGGTACCAGTGTCCATCGTTTCATAAGAAGGTGGGGAGAGTGGGGGATAGAGTGTTTTGGGGAGAGATTTCCTAGGAGAAAACTTCCCCCTGTTCTAAGGCTCCTATTCTCTCCCCGCAACAGGGAAGAATGGTGAGATGCCATCTCCCTCGTTTCTAGCACAAACAGAAGGGGCTTTGACAGGACTTGCTGAGTTTGGCAGAAACTGCCTGAAAAATCTGAGACCCCACTGGACGCAGCCTGAAGGGATGTCAAGCCCAGGGCCACCTGGGATAGCTGGGCTAGGGCGGGTGCTGCTGCCATGTTGGGAAGGATCTCACTCTAACAGAGTAAAGAGGCCCGAACCCTGGGAACTGGATGGAGGGCCTGTAAGACTAAGGAACAGGGTAGGAGGAGGGACGGTAATGGCTGCTTTGGGGTAAGCCTGTCCTCAGGAGCAAGCCAGGGTTACTTTCCTGCTCTGAGACATGGGCCTGAGCAGGAATCCCATCCAGGGGATGTTTCAGGTGCTGGGTGATTAGGCCCCTGGGAGAGGCCAAGAGGAAGGTGGAGGCGGTCCTCAGTGTTCCTCAGAGTCACTAGGGGAGCAAGAGCCCCACAGAATAGGAGGTACGTTTTCCAAGGCCAGAAGACCCCAGCAATTTTGAAGGCCTCAGAAAATCCGCTCAAGTGCCCTAGGAGAGAAAAAAATCCTAAGTTCAGAGAGAGCAAACTCCTCTTACCAGAGTACTCACCTCCAAAGGGTTATGGTAGAGAAACTGAGGGGTGAAGGAGGTTGGTGCAGAGGAGTGCCTCTGCCTTCTGCAAGATGACAGCTGGCCCAGCTGAGAAAAGGAACAAGGTACAGGGCCTTCTGTGAATGCTTGAGGCTTTGCAGGAAATTTAAGTGAATGTGGGACTGTTTCATCCGAGATTGAGTACAAGGTGTCATCAAGGTGATGGGGAAAGTGCTCCCACTGAAGCGGGCACACCATCCCATAGCTCAGTGAGATATCATTTGCTCTGTGGGTCTCAGCTGAGTGCATGGACCACCCCAGTTTGCCCAACTGAGGGGTTCCTGGATGTGAACAGAAGGAGGGGAGTGGGGCAGGCCATTAGTGCTGGGACCAGGGAGGGCATCAGGCTGTCCAGCGAAGCCCTCAAGGGTGAACATGTCCCACCAGCTATGTGGGACTCCTGAGCACTTGACATGTGGCTGTGTGACCAAGGAACTAGGTTTTTAAATTTTATTTTAACTAAATTAAATCTGAATAGTCACATGTGGTTAGTTCCTACTGTATTGGTACACAGCAAAAGCCAAATTGCTGGTCCTGAGATAGGTAGCTGGGAAACTGGGAAATGGAATGTCACCACCTTGGGGGCCTGAGTGTTCAGAGGTAACGGCAAGTTCCTTCTTAGCTGGACTGTATCAGAATGGGATGGGGTTCCACAGTCCCTGTTGGGCATAGAACATGAAATGCAAACACCCTGCTACTGTCTCCTAAGGAGAGAATTTCTCCTGTCCTCAGGAGATCCACTGAGGACAGGATCCACTGAGGCAAGGCTGGAAAGACCTTGTTCCTTGACTTCCCAAGAACATCAAGAGACTTACCTGCTTTTTCCTTGAAATGAGGTATAAGATGGGTTTGAAACTACTCTGGAAAAAGCTGCTTAATGTAAATGTAGATGTAATTTAGGTCTAGATATGAAGACATCTGGCTGAGTTACCCTTGGTTAGAGCCAAGGCCTCACTCCCTGCCCGTGTTCTGCCACCACCCTGCTAAGTCTTTACAATTACTATTTAGTTGTCATCTCCCAGTTCAGCGAGGAAGGTGAGCCAGGTTATCACTCACTAGGATGAGGTGCATAAGGTGACCTTATTCCCAGAACATGCTGTCTTCTAACAGGATCAAGTGGAGCAGAAAGGATAAAGCTTAGGCCTGAATCTCCTGCTTTAGGCTGAAGATGAGCTATTTCATTTTCTAAAGATGGTGTGCATGTGTATGAGTGTGCCCGCATGTGTTTGCATGAACTCCTGTGCATGCGGGCTCAGTCAAAACAACTCAGCCCCTCTCGTCCCACCACAGGTGTCTCTCCCCCCAAACACACCTCCAACCACCCCTATGCCCAAACACACAAAGCTGGCAACATTTTGATTGCATTTTTATTTTTCAAAATTTCAAAACTTGTGCTTTTTATAGGGCAAGGAAAAAAATAGGTCAGTAAAGGGAACTAAACATAACGTAAGTAGACAGGCTGTTAGTGTTCATGCTGTGAACCTCAGTACAGCATAGGTCTGCAGCAGCCCTACCCATCACAAAGAAAACATGGC